TCGAGGCGGTGAGTTGGAAAGTGATTGAGTCGGTGGGCCGCTTAAAATCCAAACTAACATCTGACTGACACTACATGCACACAGGAGGCCGCCTCGTCAACTCCATCTCGTCGAAGTCCGAGCCGCTTTCTTGACCCTCCGTGTTGCCCACCTCGTTCCCGCTTGATGTCGCTAGGACATCCGTCGCTCCTTTAGCCCCTCGCAGTCACTCTGTCGCCCGTGTGCGCATCTCGCAGTGGCTCACTCGTCGGTTGCACAGGCTTACCTCGTGATGACGCTAGATCATCTGTTCAGTGACCTGTTCGTCGTCGTCAGCTTGCTGCTGGTGCTCCAACAGTGTTCACTTGCGCTTTCGCACCAAGCGCGATCATCGCGCTCTTGAACGCAGCAGACGAAGCATAAAGTGAAAACCCATGGGGTAAGAATAGCATCATGTAGCCTGCGGTGTGTCTAAGCTCGTACAGCGTCGTTTTCTTCACAGAACACGAGGCATAAACGCGGGGCTCGACCGTAAACCATTCGTACCAGACTGCTGCAAGAGGCTACGAGCCCTTCTTCCTTGGACGAACAGTTTGGATCGCAAGTTGTGGATCATGCTGTGATACACGAGCCGCAACAGGTTTGGCTGTAGCCGACATTGCTGCACTTATCTGCTCTTTTTGTGTTGTCGTTTCTAACGGTGAGTGCAACTTAGTCTCTACAGCTAACAGTCGTTCCTCTAGGCGCTTATTTTGCAGGATTAAAACGCTGATCGGCTCGGACTGGCGCTTCATGAGGCTTAACACCTGGGCGGAGTGAGACTCGCTGGGCTTGGTTATCGCTGATGGTGGCATGAAAGCACGGCGGATTGTGCTCCCTGCAAGTATTTCCGCTTCCCCGATGGCCCGTGCTGACATAACCGCCCAAATGCGGGCAACCAGCGCGCCTTCGCATGAAAAAGCAGCAACATGTCGGGGTAGTACATGATGAGGGTGGCTGACATTACCTCTGCAACGTCTTCGTTTAGGTTCATGGCAGGTTCTGCAAAGCCCAGGGAGCTCGTGAAATGTAGGCCATGCAGTGCTTGGCACAGGCGGCTCCAAGATACACAACGAAGGAAGGTGAGCGCCGTCTATTGGTTTCCATCCGCTCAGGACACGCGCAACTTGGTGATCAGCCTGCGTTGTACCCAACATGTACCCAAACGCCTTATTGACGCGATCGAGCTGCCAACCGCCTCGCTCTATAATCTAGTTTTCTGCCAGAGTTCCATCGTTGGCGTGCATGACAGCTCCTCGACGAAAAGATTCCTTGTGTGAGTTTTACCTGCTTCTTATCTGGAATACTCTTGACTCTAACCAATAATCGGTTCACATACGCGTGTGCACCAGGAAGCTAGCGACTGTTGCACGTTTGGGAAGGATGGGGGTGTCGTCTGCCTCGAGAAGCTCTACGAGAATGAGCTCTTCTACGTCGCCAGCATTAGCTGCGGTATGGTAAACTGAGGAAATAGATGTTTGCTTGGCGCATTCTGTATGGCTAGAGCAGCAGCTAAAATGAATAGTGGACAAGTTAAAAACTTGTCGGGTCCTTAAACAAGGGTATACTTTGTAGCAAAGCTGTTTTAATCCACTTAAAGCGTAGAAAGAGAATGCCACCTACATACTGTAAGGCTCCAGTTGACGTAATTGCCAATAAATAAATAAAAAATAATCAATCTGCTTACCAGGTACAATCGAGAGCTATTTTATTTTCTCAAGTTGCTCTGCGTTCGAGCTACGTCCGTATAAATACCGCAGCACCACAACCAGAGCTGCATCCGGATAGATACTCTCAGCAGATTCAGACGTATAAAGTAGGCGAACAATATTTTTAAGTCTTGCTTGGAGCAGGGGGGAGCTTTCTTCTCAAACGCTCCATCCTCTCGATTGCTACAAATTTACCAAGCCCAGAGAGAACCTTTTGTAGCTGCGGCTTCATTATTCCACCTTGTTGAGGATACTTATCTAATAGCCAATTCTTCACGTTTCCGAAATAGGCAAGACACGTATTCGTAGATAGAGTTTTGTCTGTCGATCTAGCTAACGAGTATGCATATTTATCTAGTATGATTCGAAGCACCTTACCGGTTTTGTCAGCGCCGATAAGTTTGTGAGCCGCATCTAGTGTAATGTTCTCTGACGAAAGAAATGCGGTGAAGGAGTTAATCGCCGTCACGCGAGCCTTCTTGCTATTGGCAGGTGCTAGCGATGCGATAGACATGCTCATAGCTCTGCAAATTTTCTTTTCACTAAAACAAAACCGCTGCGATCACTCGGTTGGAAACCTCATGATATTTTTGGAATATGCACTTATATAAATTTTTGTATGGGCTAAAACATATTCTAAAAAGATTCCAACTAAATATGGTCGGAATGTGGGCGGTTATTCTCGCGACCCGACCATTGGATAAAATGCGGGAAATCGTGCATTATTATTGGCGAACTTATTTTGTAAGGATTGTGGAATGTAGTGGATATTATACCACATCCGAAAACAATATCTTACGTTAGTACATACTTTTCTCAGTTTTTAAATTATGTGGACAGATTTGGAGCCCAATTAATGAGAAAAAAACAAAATTCTTTTGCAAAATTGAACCGTTTCGGTGACGTACCCACGAAACTATATTATAGTTTCGGCTTCATATTGTGCTTTACGCGCAAAACGGCTGTAACTCGTAGTTATCAAATCGTAAAGATTAACTCATCGTTGATTTACATGGCTTACTTTTCGAGCTAATGCTGAATAGTCATTAACTCGACGAGTTAAGCTTGTGTTGGCTACTTTCGTTGAACGGCTGTACTAAAATGGATAAACCAACGTCAGGCAGAATAACTTTATAATAAAAACTCTCGCGAATTCAGTTGAGACTATTATGCTGGCATATATCAACGGCATAGACATAAGCCATAGTACATCGCCTACTTTGCGTTTTGCCGAGTCGATGTCGATGTCGATGAAAACCCGAGCTCCATGATATACAATCGTTTTTATAGCTGGTAATTATCTTTATCCAGTGCTCTGCGGTTGACCTTTTATTGCTGGCGCATAGCTAGGTACAAAGACTCTTCGGGCTTGTTTGTCATAGAGAAAGCGCAAAATTCAATACAGTGTGCAGTACTACGTAGTACACAGTGAGCTTTGTGTTGCTTCTACTCCTTGTTGGTCATTGACTACATACATGGCCAGATAATGATTAACCAAATTGCGTTATTTTTTTTTTTACTATAATTAACAGAAAGATTTATCGTTGAATTAGAGGCGCTATTCATATGCCACGAACGACACGCATTAAATCTATGAACTCTTCGGGGTTTTCTTTCATCGACTTTGATCATTTTCTGAGCTACTTAGAATTTGTTTTTATCATGTTGAGAGGCAGTAAAGCACCAGGTATTCATTCATGGAGAATCATACCCCCTGTTAGATCCTTCCTTAGTTCTGAAATAAATTTCAAAGAGTAGAAGTCTAGAAAAAAGGTGGATTGTCCACCTTATATTTCCGTATTTAGCCGAGCTCACCATCACATGTTTTGTCCACTCACACATCGCATGTTGTCTCAAGAGAGTGTCCGACACAAGTTCAAATCCACGTTCAGGACGCCACGAGGCTCTCCTGTACTTAAGTATATTATGTAGTCATTGAGTTTTGATGCCTGCGTCACAATTTAAGCTTCGTGTACGAACAGTATCAACGATTATCAGTGGTTGTCTAATTCGCGTCCACTTTCCGGTGCATCAAACACTTTCTCCGACAAGCACGATAAACCATGAGCAAAAGCAGCAGCACTAAAGAATATCCGTACCGGTCTGCAAAGTAATGTGAGGTTAGCCTGGAAGAAGGTGAGATTACAAACGCACCAGCTCGCCTTTTCACTACTGTAAATGTGCGTGTAACGTATGTATGTCGCCATTCCCGCTAGATGTTGATGGCCATTTCGGTGGCGAGGCTCTCCTTCCCTTCCTCAACTTTTTCAATACTGTCACCTGATAAAGCAATTTTGTGTCCTTCTCGTCCGAGTCCGGGAGGACACGAAGCTGTGTATTTGTCAACTACGGTAATAAACACTCCCTAGTCAACGCGACGGCACTCTGCTTGCTGAGTCCACACGCCGCATCAACGGCGGACCACCGGACGCACCGCCATTGGTTGGCGTGACTCGACATCACGAAGCTTTCCTGACGACCACCTGGTTCAACTCCTGACTGTCTACGTTTGTCACGACGCAACGCGAAAACGGATACGACCCATACATGAATCACGGTAGCATAATGTATGTATTTAGAAATTCTACTGTTAGATAAGTCTAAAGTACATGCAACTTGTCTGGTTAATGCAAGTACGAAGGAAACGCTTGTCTGTACATATACAAGCTCGAGCATGACTGTCTGAACGGTATACATGTAGACGAGAGCACACAGGAATCTTATTCATCACTCCCGTATGTTGTGTAGAAAACCCGGCATGGCTCGTAGTTGGATGGAGATCACAGCTCCGTGTCGTCCCTTCAAAGGAGCAACGTCAACGTGTCTCCAATCCATCATGCGCTCGTGGCGCAAGCTTCGTGCTGCGAAATATCCACCGTCTCCCCAGTGTCGATTTTATCGTGATCTGTGCAAGTCGCGACCGTGAACAATGGCATCATCAGGCCAGTCTACCAGGAACTTGAACGGCGTTGATCGTAGAGTTCCGATGCACAACCCGTTCGACCGTCCGAGAGCGATGGATCGCCGTGTAGCGTACATCGGTGAAGGTCTCATTGACCCGAACGGGCTTGATAGCCTAGACAATCTCGGAGATATCGACATCGACCAGAACTCTCCTCAACGGCGTCGTGAGGTTCTGGATGATCTGGCAATCGACGTTGGGGAAAAATATCTCGACGATATTTACAAGGAAGATACAGACGGAGCCGACGAGGATAAAGCGGCAGAACAGGTTCGGCATCACTTGGCTGTGTCTTCGATCAATAGTCACGAGGTTGGACACAAGGAACGAGTTCGGACGGAGAAAGAATTGGCTTGGCTCAAGGTGAGGCAGCTTCTGATAGAAGAAGAAGAGAAGGCCTCAACGCACAAGCGACGACATGCCAAGAGCATCAGTCGATCCGTCGAACGCTCTGCTGTTCGTAGTGAAGCGAGTGATGACAAGAGCTGCAATACTGTCAAACTGCTGGATTCCATGGCGCCGTATACCCCGCAGCCACCGCAGCCACCGCAACTCTTTTCGCCCAAGAACAACAGAACACGCCCTGAGGTGGAAGTACAGCCACCACAGACATTTGCAAGTAAACTCGCCCAATTCCTGGGAGCAGGGAGTGTATCCGACAACGAGAGTACCAGCTCGAAATCGTCGCGTTCTTTGTCAGGATACAGCGCGAACACGCCTACCCGATGGCAGCTGTTGGCAACGTTAGAACAAGTAACCAAAACCTGTCAGAGGATGGAGCTGTCAGAAGAGACTATGGCTCGCGTTTCAGAGCATTTGAACTCCATTGACCAGGTCGTGCGTGAGGACATGAGTGCCAACCAGAGCAGAGCCCGTCGACTCTCGAGCACACAGGCGTCGAACGACTCGAATGACTCACTCGACACGTATTCAGTGGTAGACATACCACCCGCCCACCCCCAAGCGGATGTGGCGCCAACAGTTCGAGATTCTTTCAAAGGTTTCGCCTCCTGTCAAGATCTTCGCGATACACTAGCAGCTTTCAACAATCTGCTGGCCGATTGTTGCCTCGACGGCGTCAAGTTGCAGGAGCCGTGGCATGTGTACTACCACATCCGAGATGCCGTGTACAGCAAGCTCAGTTTCCGCCACAAACAGCTCTTTAAGCTGTTGGACGTGCGATTCAGTCTCGACGTATTCAAGCGACGGCCTTGTGTCAATAAGCGCATGTGTATCGTCGGTGCTGGTCCCGTGGGTCTGCGTGCTGCCATTGAGCTCGCACTCCTTGGTGGTAAAGTGACAGTTGTCGAGAAACGCACCAAGTTCAGTCGTGAGAATATGCTCCACCTGTGGCCGTGGGTCGTCCAGGATCTGGCGTCTCTAGGGGCGAAAGTTCTGTTCAAGAACTTCTGCAAATCCCGAACGTATTTCCACGTGAGTACACGACAACTTCAGGTGGTTTTACTCAAGGTGGCACTGTTAGTTGGCGTCAAAGTGCACTCAGCTACAGGCTTCAAGGCGATTGTTTCTCCTTCTCCTCACGATAATGGCGGTAATTTATTCTACAGCATCAAGACGGAGCCTCAAATCCCAGTCGCAGAGTACACTGCTGTACTCGGTGCAACCGGTACGAACGACTTGATCGCTGAACCTGCAGGTATCACCCGCTTTGTGTTCTCACGTAATGAGTCACTGGGTATCGTCTGCTACTTCCCAAATCTGGAGACGACTGACGAAATGAAGACGAAGGAATTCTCGTGGACCACTCGACTCAAGCATCACATGCTGGACAAGATGCGCGACGTCGGTATCGATTTGGAGAACATCGTGTACTTTAGAGGAGACATGCACTACCTCGTCATGACACCAAAGCGCCAAAACTTACTGATCCATGGCGTGGTGAAGCAGAATTATGCAGACTCGAAGGATCTGGTTAGAAAGGAGAACGTCAATCCTGACGCTCTCAATATGTTTGTCAAGAATATCGTCAAGTTTGCTGGTATCACAAGGAAGACGGACTTCACGAGGGTTAATCTGATCGACTTTAGCCAGCTAACACGAGCTGATAAGGCTGCGAGCATCTTGTCTTCACATGGTAAGAAGCTCTACGTTGGACTGGTCGGTGATTCGTTGTTGGAGCCTGTATGGCACGAAGGTGTTGGTACTTGTCGAGGGTTTTTGAGTGCGTTGGATGGCGCCTGGATGATCGCTCATATCGGAAGGAAGACAGACGAACAGCTACTGGCGAACCGACATGTTGCCTTCCAGGTGATGCAGCGTCTGTCCGGTCACCACCGCGACGAGATGCAGAAGAACGTGAGGAAGTACACGGTGGATCCAAAAACGCGTTACAGAGGCGTGTGCTGAGTGAAGCAATAGCAATAGCGTGAGCTGGTGCTGGTTAGAGCATGTACGTCCAAATCAGTACTTAGATCACAAAAGTATCGTGATTAGTGTGCTGTTACAATCCAGTGTTGTAGAGGAAAAATAGACAAATGTAGCTTTGATGCAGACATCAGTATTGCTGCTTAACCACTCCTACTGCTCAGTAATTTATTTTTAGCTTCAGAAAAATATGTTACAGATTCTTTAAATTTAAAATTACAATACGAAATCAGAAAAAATACATGGAAAATAATACATTATCGATATAATTCTTCAGAAGTGATATTGTATACAGTCTACACAACACGAGGAAAGTCGACCAAGTACCGAGTCCTGGGATCCACGGTGTACTTCCGCACATTCTTCTGCATCTCGTCACGATGGTGGCCTGACAGACGTTGCATCACTTGGTAGGCCAACTCGCGATCCGTCAGCAGTTTTTCATCCGACTTTCTCCCGATCTGGGCGATCATCCATGCGCCATCCAGCGCACTTAGGAAGCCTCGACAAGTGCCGACTCCTTCATGCCAGACAGGCTCCAGCAGCGAGTCTCCCACCAGTCCAATGTAGAGTTTCTTGCCGTGTGAAGAGATTACACTTGCAGCCTGCTCAGCTCTCGTTAGTGAAGTAAAGTCAAACAAACTAACTCGAGTGAAGTCCGTTCTTCTCGGGATCCCGGCAAAGTCGATAATACGCTTGACGAATGCGTGCAGTACACTCTGGTTAATGTTGTCGTCCCTGACCAGATCCTTTGAGTTGGAATAATTCTGCTTCACCACTCCTCGAAGCAGCAAGTTATTCCTCTTGGGAGTCATCACCAGGTAGTGCATCTCACCTCGGAAGTACACAATATTCTCCAGATCGACGCCAATCTCACGCATCTTGTCCAGCATGTGGTGCTTCAGCTGAGTTGTCCACGAGAACTCCTTGACCTTGGTCTCCTCCAGTGTCTCCAGGTTGGGGAAGTAGCAGACGATACCCAGAGATTCCTTCTGAGAAAACACGAAGCGATTGATACCTGCTGGAGCTGCCAACTGATCGTTGACTCCGGTGGCTCCAAGTACCGCTGTAACCTCTGCCACTGGAATCTGAGGCTCCGTCTTGATGCTGTAAAAGAGGTTACCGTTCTTCTCCGATGAAGGAGCGACAATCGACTCGAAGCTTGTAGCAGAGTACACTTTCACCCCAACCAGCAGAGCCACTTTGAGTACAATGATCTGCAATTGTCTGGTGCTCACGTGGAAGTACGTTCTGGACTTGCAGAAGTTTTTGAATAAAACCTTCGCTCCCAACGACGCCAAGTCCTGAACCACCCACGGCCACAGATGAAGTCTGTTCTCTCGACTGAACTTGGTCCTCTTCTCCAGTACAGACACGTGAGCACCGAGTAGTGCCAACTCGACCGCAGCACGTAAGCCCACAGGTCCGGCACCTACGATACACACGCCTTGTTTAGAAGCGTATCTTTGCTTGTACACGTCCAGATTGAACCGTGCATCAAGCAGTCGGAAGAGCTGCTTCTGACGGTATCCCAGTCTGCTGTACACTGCATTCCGGATGTGGAAGTAGACATGCCAAGGCTCCTGCATCTTAGCTCCGTTAAGACCACAATCGGCCAGTAGATTGTTGAAAGCTGCCAGGGTTTCACATAGATCTTGAGCGGCGATGAACGTCTTGAAGGTACTGCGCACACTCGGAGCGACCATAATGCGAGGGTTGGCAACGGAATAGGTGGACTGATGGCTCTCACTCTCGTACTCACTCGAGTCGTTGGTGCTTGAGAGTCGACGAGATCCGCGCTTCAGTCTTCGAGCCGCTTCTTCCTTTAGAATCTCGTCGATCATCGTCAAGTGGGAAGTGATTCGAGCGATCGACATGTCCGATAACTCGGTCGTTCGGCACGATATATTGACGCGCTCCAGAGTCGCCAGCAGCACCAATTGAGCTGGTGTTGCATGGAATGGAGACGACGGTGGGTGTGGGGCGGGACTGCGGTGAAGCAGTCGCGATATTTTGTTCCCCATGTGGCCAGCAAAGGTATGTGGTGACTCCCTCGCTTCGGACGATGAACTGCTCTTGCTGTACACGTCTTCGGTGCCCGAACGGGCCAAGATATCCAGCAACTTGACTGTGTCGTAGCCTGCAGTATCCGCTTGTCGGCTTGGAGCGACTGGCTTCTTCTTTGTCGCCGCCTTCTCTTCTTCCTCAACCAGGAGACGTCTCACCTTCTGCCACGCCTTCTCCTTCCCCGGACGTTGAGGAGTAGGATGTTCCTCCTCAATCTGACCCAACTGGTTCAAATCATTCAGAGGCTTGACTGCCGCTTGTCTAGTCTGGTGCATTGACGACCGAGGCCCGTCACTGTAGAACCCGCTTTCTTCTCCATCCGAGGTGTCGCTGTCGTCTTCTTTGTAGATATCGTCGAGATATTTCTCCCCAACGTCTATCGCTAAGTAGTCGAGCAGTCTACGACCGTGTGGATGCGTCTTCGGAGGTGCGCCGTCATCCTCTCCAAACTGATCGAGGCCATCCACCCCGTCGGGATCAATGAGACCTTCACCGATGTACACATCATGGTTGTCACCGATACTGCTACGACGCTCGAACGAGTCGCGGAGTCCGGCGTTCGGTCGGCTTTGATGCTTGTGCAGATTGTGGTGACCGGCGAATGCGGACGGCGAATGTGCCGTAAGTGTCGCCATTCTCTAGTAGAAGTTGAAAGGGAACTTGACTGAGGCCTGCAAAATGGAGACTGAGCAGGTAAAGTAAGACGCAACACTCGCAACAAACCCGAAATGACGAGTCATGTAGCCTTCATGTTAAACCCGCACTTTCTTAGGCCTGGACACGACCGCGCTTTCTGCTCATTCGATTCCCTGGAAGATTGAATCGCTTCATGGATCTCGAATTCCTCGCTGGTCCATCGTAGATGAGAGTCTGACTATTTTTCCGCGCAGTTCAAGTTCTCTTCATTTCAACGCGAATTTGTTGATCTTAGCGGAGATCGTGGTCGCGACGAAGCCTCAGATCAATCAACAATCAACATTTTGTGCCGATGGTCCACCCTCACTTGATTTTATACAGTTTGTAGGAATTAATCCGTAGAGCCTTGCGATTTGGAGCTGCGATATTATATGTACCTGTAATACCGAATATCTAAACTCTAAATTAATCAATTTAAAGTTCTGTAAACGTTATTACAACCTCTATAATTGATCTATACCAAATATCTTTTTCGCCTGCTTAACCTTTATAACACAAGTGGGTGATTCGTGAATTGGATAAATTAAAAAAATACCTCGGGTTAAATGGAGTTAAATGATGATTGTACGCTTCAACATGGAAGCTTTCGACTTGACACAGTGACAACGTACGGTGTTCTGGTTTCCGTAGAAGCAACGTACATGCTAAGATTGCCCGCCTTTGCTTGCCATTGAGCACATCCGCGTCGCTGCTTCGGGACCAAGCAAGATTTCCTCCCGATCACTGTCGTACTTCCCACAAGAAACCTCAATGTCACGATGCGAAACCGAAGCGATACTTTCACGCTTGTTGATCGGTCCGAAGGGCGGGTACTTCGAAAACTAAGGAAACTCTACCCGCATCAACACTAAAGCAAAGCCAGATTAAAGATTGAGTAGAGTTGCCTAGCTGAGTTAAAAACAAAGATAACTAATGCTTTCCAGTGGAGTGGAAAGATTCCGTTTAGGATTTTCCTCTCTAATCGAAATGATAGCCGAAGCCAGAGGGAGTCTGTTCTAAAATGGAAAACTCATTTCGTTCATTCATCGTGTGTTGTCAAAGTGTACAAACCTAGAGAGCTCGAGGGAAATCTACGATGTAACGCGATGTCGGCTCCACCGTGTACTTCCTCACGTTCTTCTGCAGTTCGTCTCGGTGGTGGCCGGACACTCGCTGCATGACTCGGTAGGCCAACTCCCGATCAGCCAAGAGCTGCTCGTCCGATGTCCTTCCGATTTGAGCCACCATCCACACGGCGTCGAGCGCACCTAAAAAGCCTCGACAAGTGCCTACGCCTTCGTGCCACACAGGCTCCAACAACGCGTCTCCGATCAACCCGACGTAAAGTTTCTTGTCATGTGAAGTCAATACACTTGCTGGCTTGTCAGCACGAGTCAGCGAGCTGAAGTCAAATAGGTTAACCCTTGTGAAGTCCGTCTTTCTTGGAATACCCGCAAACTCGACAACTCGCTTGACGAACGCGTGTAGATCATTTTGACTGATGTTGGTACTCTCCACCAAATTTTTCGAGTTCGGACAGTTCTGCTTCACTACACCTCGAGCCAACAGATTCTGTCGTTTCGGAGTCATCACCAGATAGTGCATTTCTCCACGGAAGTACATGATGTTCTCCAGATCGATACCAATCTCCCGCATCCTGTACAACATGCGATGCTTGAGTTTAGCCGTCCACGAGAACTCTTTGACTTTCATCTCCTCTGGTGTCTCCAAGTTCGGGAAGTAGCAAACAATACCTAGAGATTCCTTTTGAGAGAACACGAAGCGGCTGATACCTGCAGGTTCTGCGACCTGGTCATTGATACCAGTAGCACCTAGTACCGCAGTGTACTCAACTACGGGAATCTGTGGCTCCGTCTTGATGCTGTAGAACGGACTCCCTCCGTTCTCTGGAGCAGGAGAGACTATTGACTGGAATGCGGTCGCCGAGTACACTTTGACTCCAACTAACAGAGCCACCTTTAGCAAGATAACTTGGAGGTGTCGGGTACTTACGTGGAAGTACGTCCTTGACTTGCAGAAGTTCTTGATCAAGACCTTTGCTCCCAAGGACACCAGATCTTGGACTACCCACGGCCACAAGTGGAGTCTATTCTCCCGGCTGAATTTGGCTCTCTTTTCGAGAATAGACACTCTACCGCCAAGTAGAGCCAACTCTACCGCTGCACGTAGGCCAACAGGCCCGGCACCAACGATACATACGCGTTTGTTCGTTGCCGGGCGTTGTTTGTACACATTCAGACTAAAACGCGCATCCAGGATCCTGAAGAGCTGCTTCTGACGGTACCCCAACATGTTGTAGACTGCGGCTCGGACGTGGTAGTACACGTGCCAAGGGTCCTTCAAGTTCACTCCATTGAGGCCACAATCCGCCAACAGATTGTTGAAAGCAGCCAAAGTTTCACACAGATCTTGAGCGGAGACAAAAGCTTTGAAGGATGAGCGAATGGATGGCGCTTTGTTAGATCGGCGGTATAGCGCTGGATTCCTCGGGTCTCCAAGCTCATAGCCGCTTGATTCGTTCGACCGTTGTGCGTTTGAAACGTGATGAAATCCACTGCTGGTGGTATCTTCTTGAACAATCCGGTCGATTGATGCCAAGTGCGAGGCGATTTGAGCAATGGCTCCGTCTGATAGCTCATTTCGTCGACAAGTTTTGGTTACTCGCCCCAACGACATCAATAGCCAACGACTAGGTCGACTGCCTTCGTAAGATGAGGCTTGGGACACACAAGACCTTGTTACGTCGGACTTTTCGTCATCATTAATTTTGCGTTGCAAGAATTGGACCAATTTGTTCCCCATCCGATCGATTCGACTTGCGAGCGTTTGAGGCGCATACTGGATCTCGTTACTTGCCACGTCAGACGCACTGCTGTTGCTGTAGAGATCCTCTCCTGTGCTTTCAAGGATATCCAATAGCTTGACGGTGTTTGTCTCCTCAAAAGAGTGGTCAAGAGAACTCGATGCACGCTGTGAGCGTGTGTGGTTGCGAATGGCTGCCTTCTCTTCTTCCTCGATCAAGTGCTGTCTCACCTTCTGCCATGCCAAGTTTTTCTTCACATCTTGAGCGTTAAGCTTTGTTGCTTGATTTTTGTCATAACCGGAGCCTTCGTCTTCATCATCACCGCCGTCTTCTCGGTAGATTTCGTCGAGATACTTTTCACCCACGTCAATTGCCAGTGAATCAAGCAGACTGCGACGGTGTTCATGTTGGGCCTTCTGGTGACCTTCGCCATCACTGAGACGGTCGAATCCATTGAAGCCTCCATTCTGGTCATCCAGAAGACTGAGACGCTTTTTCAGTTCGGTGTGGACGAGTAATCTGTGCTCCGTCTTAGGTTTTTTTGCCGGCTTCCTGGAGAAAGCTGGGATAGCAGACACGGTCGATTGAGCTAGCATCGCCATCCTTTACGAATCTCTTGACCTTTTATCCTTCACCTCAGACCACCGCAAATTGGAAACTGGGTCGAGCATGATCATACATTCAACGCTCCGAGCCACATCAGCGTGTCTTTACCTCTCACAGGAATACATGTACGTACACCGTCGGGATTTCGTTAATGTCAGTCTTTTTGCTTAGCCTCGGGCACGACTCACGTAACGACTCATTAGTGCCACTGGTGAACTTTTCGATTGGCTACGATTCGTTTGGTATCCGGTATCTTGACTTCTTTCCCTCGCGTACTGACCATTTGTCCAACTTCAGTCAGAGCGTAGGTTTTCGATCACTAAGGTTTAGCTCCATTGATGCTAAAAGAAGAGCCTCATGTATTTACGTGTAGATCGCACTTCTACATGTACTACCTCAATGGTCGATATGAAAAAAGAAGTATATCATGGAATAGTCCACTGTGGCAGGTAGGTTTTCCTGCACGGAAGGTTTATCACATCTCCGTCGTTGAGATCGGCAACTCCACCATATCATGTCTATTGATTCAACGCGAAGCTTTCGGCGAAATAGCAAGTGTGGCGCCCTTATTGGGTGATATCAACGATAAGACTGTCTTATGCTATGAATGATAGTGCCGCTTATAGCAGGGGATATTCTCTGAAATGCTTTTGAATCACCCACGTGAGTGTTGAACCTTTCGACATGCCAGGCTCGAAATTTCAGAGCCCCGTCGTGCACAGCTCGACTTTGTTACCTGCTGCATCCCCGAATACAGCGATATTTGGACTCTCAAGGGCCAGCATCCGACCAATCTTTTCCAGAATTCGTATGTGCAAGTAAGAAACGAAAATACGGAACTGAAAACTTAATTCAACTTAAAACGTTATAGGTTCTTGGAAGCACCCAGAAATATGTAATACATGTATTATAACTAGACAAAGAACCAAAGCCCATCGAGCAAGGAGCGACGGATTGTAATGTAGTCCGATAGAATGTAGCTCGATATTTTAGATAAGCTGAAATAATGCAGGTCGAGTGATCACTGAAGTATTCTGCTTGGACGTTCGAAAACTACTGTTAGAGCCTACGAGGTGATTTTATGGTAAATCGAAAGCGCGGAGTCAGATCGTAGAGAATGAAATGAATAAACTATTATCAGGATACTCAGACAAGTCAATCGTCTCAAGGCACGCCTTCGTTCTTGGAAGATAACCTAAATTTGGAAGTAGAGACTATTGATTGTCCCCACATCCGTTTTCTTTGCCTTGCTACTCGAAACGGCACCGATCGTGGAATGTGCGGTTGAGCGTTGACGTCACTTTGGATCCGGCGCTTTGGAGAACGGTCTCCAGCGTCTCTTGGCTATGCTCCTCGACACCTGTGAGCCGTTCATTGCATGGCAAGATCTTAGCATGCAAAGATTCGGTCTCGGATATCGGCGTTGGCATTCTTCGACTTGATACCGAGGTAGCATTGTCCGGGATGAGGGCTGAACGTGGAGAGGAAGCGGCGATGCTGCTGTCCGCGTACCAGCGAGCAGCGCAGCGTGACGCGGCTACAATGAGGCAGCGCCGTCGTACTCTACGCACTTTATTGGGGGTTATCGGTGCTGTTGCTCTGTTCGTTGGATGCATCGCAGCAGTCGACGTGATGGCGATGACTGGCAACGGAAGCGACACTATGACGCTAGAAGTGTCCACGGAGGACGAGGCCATAGAAATGGAGTCGCAGTTTGGCTGGAACTCGATTGGCTACGGCTGGTGCTCGGTCAAGGCGTCGACATGGTGCATGTTCAGTAAGGACAAGGAGAAGTGCAAGGAGAACATCGATTGCTACAAGAAGGGCATTGAGTCGGGTACACGAGGCGCTGGAAGCAGCAGCGGAGAGTTTGGCGATGCCACGGTTGGGGACTCATCCTCGGACGACGAGGTGGGAGCTCCGATGGAAAACCCCTCGCAATCGTCGTCAAATGATGAAGAGGAAGGCATTACGGGAGGTGAAGAGACTGGAGGAGAAGGAAATTCTGGGGATGGGAGCAAAATTGAACCAAGGGGAGGTGAGGACTAACGGAGGAGGCGAAAGAAGTCGAGGGTGGCGGTCAAAAACAACTACATGTAGTTGTAACGTATACATGGATTCTAGGTTTTACACCCTTCAGGTTGAGACTGGTATCAATTGTTCTCTCATAAATACTCCTTTATAATGGATTTGCCACCCTTCATCAGTTAAAGTTGAGTGAATCAATTCATTTAGTTATGCTCATGCAAGCGCGTGTGATCGCTGTAATTATTGTTTGGGGATAATTGGTTTGAAGTATTTGGAGGTCAACTTAAGCCAGTGCGCTCACCTATTGTCTTTGGAGTGTTAGGCCTTAGAATATCAGGAACAACGATGCAACCACTCGCGTAAAAGCACTTCATTGGGAGGTTTAAACGTCTTTGTGTGAGTCGTTGTTTTCACGTGTTAAAGTTTAAAATTACAAAAACTAAGCTGCGTAGTTTAAGTCTTTTCGGATTGGGCTAACCAGAAAAAAACTACGTTTTGAGCTTCTTTTTGCTCATTCAACATATCTTGCCGTTTATCAGGCATTGAAGGTCCAGATCACCAAATCGAAAAAGAACACACAACACAATAGAGGTAACTTTGAATCATTTTTTTTATTGCTTTGAACGCGAGCTTTCAATCAATAAAAGGATAAGAAAGAATCCTGGTAGTAAAACAAAACAAAACAAAAAAATCAAATAGAAGGCCAGTATCACAGGTTAAATTTACGAGGGCTAGGGCTTCTTATGAACGGTTGCCTTGATTTAAAACCATAGGTCGATGATAGATGCAAAGCGATATACACCCATAAGCTGGTTGCGTGGCATCTGAATCTACGCCTTGTACGTGGAGATCTCAATTGCGTCCTTTAGATCGGAGTACTCATGGTACGACTCGAGCAGCACGGACTTGAAATAGGGACTGCCGCGGATGTATTCCAGGTAGTCGCTGACACCAGCAAACAAGACATTGTCGGCGATCACGACGGATCCCTGACAGTTCAACAATCATAAAAATGTCAGCAGCTTGTCCCAGTACCACATTTCCACTTAATGGCTCACTGATCGAAGCAAACCGCACTGCTCGATGATCTCCAAGTCGCTCTTGTACTTTTTCTTGTCGTGGTCGATGAAAAACACCTGCAAAACCGACAACTAAGTAAATTCGGGGGTTCAAAAATCGTGACGTAGTGTCTCCTCCAACGTACATCAACGTGGTCGACATGTTGCTCCTTAAGCTTCTCATAGTTGTCACCGTACGTCCCCACAATGATCGTCACCATGTCCGAAAGTCCAGCATACTCGATCATCTGCACAAGTATGTGCTGTTATACGCATCTGTTACCATTAAGATGTAGAGCGTACATTTACATACCTTGGTGGCAATGGCCGCAAAATCCGGTGATATTTCGAAAGAGTAAACGTGGGCAGATGGGCCAGAAAGCTCCCTCATCTTGCTAGCAAAACGGATGGCGCTGTAGCCGAGGTGTCCACCAAGCTCCACCAAAATCTGTATCCAGAGACCAGAGTTCACTTCGATACGGTACTCAACAGTAATGAGCAAACCAACCTTTGGCTTGACTTTTTCTAATTCCGCGTCCAGAAGATCTCCCTTGACATCCCCGACATTCATCATCCAGTGATGTTCGTAGCCGAATGTGTCGATCGCTGCCACGACGGACTTGGCGTCGCCTTGCTTAGCATTTTCGTGTACGAATGACAAACACTTCTCGCCACTGCAGAGTAACAACAGTATTAGATACAAACGCACACGCCCCAAGAACCAAGCTTAAATATCCGCGCGTTTTAGACACAATACATGAGCACGAGCTGGTTGTAGGCTGGGGGGCCTGGCTTGGTGGTGGAGACTCGGGGAGGCATGGTACAAGCGTGAGAAAATTGAAAGTGGAGATATCGAGACAATTCGATAAAGCTATCATAAATTATGTCAACCCTTCCATTCGGTACTGTTATGAATCATACAAGATTGCGTGCGGCACGCATCCGGCGTCGACTCTTCCGTATGATAACAACGCTATGCATAAACTGACGCACCTAAAAAGCAGTTGGTGAAACGATACCTCCCAACTCGATCAAATTGCGTGATGATGATGAATGGTGGCCTTCTATTTTGTTTATTTACATTTATCTATAGAAGCCTTATATGCATGTAAACACGAGGCTGTGTCTTGTGTCTGTCTATAATTGTACGCAGGTCCTATAGTATCTGGCTCTGTTGTGCTGATGAAGTCCCGAACAATGGATGGCGGTCAAATTGCGTGATCTCCTCTTGCGTTAGGGTTAATACTAATCATAGCCATTCACGTAGTCGATATGATATTATACTTTCCTACTTACCTCATATATTCTACGTTATCAAATTGTTGTAATTTGGGGAGGCAACAGCAGCGCGGGGTTACTAAATGCATTTTTACACAAGGACGCGCATTTTACCGATGCTACAGTCGGGCTACATCGACACTGACGCCTAATGAACTTGTTTATCTATCCCTGGAGCATACGAGCAGGTTCGATGAATCTCTCCAAACGAATCGGAAACCGAATCCAATCAACATACAGCTCCCGTCCATGTGCCTCACTCAGGCATTCCGCCCACTGGTCGTATACGACATTTATGGTATTCTCACCCACTTCTGTGAATATGCAGCTCTCCCCTCCTTCAAGGACCCACTGGACGTCATCCTGTGGGCCTTCCGCTTCTCGAATGCGAGCGTTCGCGTCAGTGTCCACGATCATGATGCAGTGCCTAGCAACTAGCCTACCGTTCGGCATTTTCGTCAGACTGTTTTGTACGACAGCAATGTACCGAAGGTGAACGTTGCCTGGAATGTTACACACCACAACGTGGTCATCGATGAGATCATCGATGGCAAAGCTCTGAAGTGGTCGGCAATAGAAATCACCACGCTGTTCACGCCCCCAACTACGAGGAGAAATAACCATTGGCCACCAGCTTGGGTATAGTTTTATTAGAGTGTCGATAGCTTCTGTCAGCGAGCAGCGAAGTTGTTTCGAGAATCGTGCATGCGCCATTGTTGTACCGGAGGCTAGCTGGAATGGTGGCACGTAATCGACCGTCCATCCAAGCAGGTTACCGATGGAAGTAGTGTATAGATGGCGCTCAGCGGATTCGATCTCGCGCTGTTTCAACTTGCCCAGGTACTCCTCTTTTGAAAGCGGGCTGAAGAAGAAGGGTGGCTCTCCATTCGGGAATTCGACCCACCACCCTTCGATGTCTTGAGCAAGTTGCATAGATGTCCTCGCTACCGTGGATTCTTCTTGTCGTTCGCTGAGAAACTTGTCTGTCTCGCGTTTTAGTTTGTTTTCGACGTCGAGTTGGAGCCTGATTTCTTCATGCAATTGCTGATTTTCTCGTTGCAGCGCTGCTCGTTCGATGGTGACTTTGTACAAGGCTGCAGAGGTGGATTCTGGCGATAGTTCATCGAGTCTTGCTTGTGTTGTGTGAAGGAGCTTTTCCAAGACACCCTCGAGACGCTGTATCTCGTCTCGGATGGTAGTCAACTCTTCCTTTCGTTCGTTCCGCCAACGTACCATGCGTCGGCGCTGAATTTTGAGGCGCAACTGCTGATGCTTTAAGGCCTCAAAAGCTTCCTCGATTAGGTTGGCATTGTGTGAGCTCTCCATGTTGTTGATTGTAGCGTCGTGCCGGGTGACGGAAGGAACGGGACAAGATAACTTGGCGAATGACGCTGTCGCGCTTTAGCAAAGTTGCATCCAGGTATGCGTACTGTGGTGTTATTAGCCTGCGTGACTCACATGTGGCGTGAGAGTCTCACTGAGACAACACAATGTACAAACAGTATTTGCGTTATGTCATAACGCAAATACTGTTGGCATATCAAGGACCGTCTCATTGTGTGCACAACTGTTTTGAATGTACGGTTCGGCTGGCCAATCCGTGTGTTTCGTAAAATGCACGCCAAGACGCGTTATCTGTCCACTTCCGCAACAGGATAAGAAAAAGAATCGATAATCCAGATGCTACAACACAGTAAAATTCTCGCTCCTGTTGATACTAGTATGATGCCAGAAAAATCGCTAATGGGGAGTTTCGGGCGCGGAGGAGTCAAGCACAGGTATATATTATCAAGATTGATGTCCCGAAAACTGTCGTGTATTGGACAACGTATGTGTATTAGAGGTAGAGGGGGGGGGGGACTATCTGAAACTAGTAATTAATTATCCACCTCACGGATTGCTATGTACTAGAACCACAAGGAGATGCTAGCATCTTGTTAGTACAAGCTTCTAACATCTCCAACCAGCGAACCCTTCAACAATTGTACTGTATGAAACTAAACAGTAGTTGCTGAGTAAATAAGAAGAAGCTGGAAACATGATGATTATTAGAGTATAACACCCGGCAAATGTCATCATTTAATGCGAAAGAGGATGTGCAACTCATGCCACACCCTCTCTCCTGAACGATGATGGTGTCATATTGATATATCAACATTATGCCATAGCTCGGACAGTGACAGTGCCCGTTTAAACGTTATTTGATAATAACACGTATTAACGCCTCTCTACCGTAGCTGTGCATTTCACTAAACCGACGTCATTAATGACTTTTTAAACGTCACAGAGTACCAAATTTGTATAACCAGTGATCTCAGAAACCCGAATAGTAAACAAAATTCAAGTCAATCTGATTACTGGCAATTATGTAGGCCGACTTGTAAAGACCGTTTAAACATACTGTCTAAAACAACCAGTATGAACGTTTGATTTTGAATCAGCACGCATACCAAATACTGATGACTGCGTACCTGGAAGGTTTCCGGAAGATTGTCCGACTGAAGGCAGTTCAGGAGACATTGTCCTTCATCAGACAGACGGCCGTCATTGGCTGACAAGATACGTTGCTGTGGTCTCTTGGGCTGTTGAAGGCGAATTGGATAGTGTATTAGCTTTCTCCTACATGCATGGCCAGCGGTTGTGCGACCTTTCGCTATCTAACCGCTGTGCTTCCGTTAGCTTCTTGTTGTCCGTTAACAACGGACAACGGCCGTGTAGCCAAGTCTGGAATCTGCTGAGAGCAAGCTGCTCCACAGGGCCCCCCAAGACTTGGTTACTCTTCATTGTCGTTGTGCTGATTGCTGAAATATGTCTTCAACCTGCTGTTCGTGGTTCCGCTGACGAACTGGGCAACTTTTTCTGGCACTGCTTCATAGATCGAGTCCAGTGATTCCCATGAATCTTCGGCAGCTTCTAGGCCTTGCCAGCCCACAAGGAGCTGCCACTCCTTTGCTTGTCGATTGTAACGCGCGTCGGTGATTGCACGAACGCCTAGCTTGATCCCTTGTAGGCCAATGTGGTGCTTCAGCTCCTCTGTCACCTCAAGCATGTTGTCCGCGTAGTGTTTTAACCGGATCGCGTGTACATCAAATTTCTCGCCCGTAAGGAGATGCTCGATCAGAAAGCTGGTTGGTAGTTCTTCAGCGACGCGAAATGGTCCGACCCAGCGAACCATTAGTTTCCCAGCAGCCATTCTTGGGTCGGCTCGCGACCAAAGGACAAAATCCCCGACGCTGAATGTGCATACCGCACCCTTTTTTGCTGCTTTCTGCTGAAGTCGCCGCTTTTCCTTTCTGTCGGCAATGTCTGCGTGTAGCTCTGCTAGACTTGTCCGAAGCTTGGCTAGTTGCTCTTCGCAGTTGAGTGTATCTCGTTGGACTACCTCGTGTACTGCTGCTCCTGCTCGTGGCTGCGTGATGACGTTCAAGATCGGCTCACGACTCAGTCCCGTGAAAACTTCTACCGGCGACTTGCCCATGAGTGATCTGACGGGTGTATGGTTGAGGTTCGATTGAACTACTGGGAGAAGGTGAACCCAGTTTCTCGTATCTAGCTCGAACTCTAGTAGCAATGCACGGACGACTTGTAATATATCGCGGTTGACGCGTTCGGCCGTACCATTCAGCCAAGGAGTGTAGACCGGCACAAAGCGCTGTTGTACTCCCAGTCTCCCTTTCAAATCTGTCATTAGCGTGTTTCGGAAATGGGATCCATTGTCCGAGACCCACATCTCCGGCAGTCCAAATCTTTTATACCAGTCTAAGACGGCACTCGCCGCCACTAAACCGTTTGCACTTTCACATGCGATCAGCTCACAGTAGTAAGAGATGTCATCTTTTAGCACTAGGACATATTGAAAGTCTCCGTAGCTCTCCCCCATGAAAAGGAAATCCATGTGCAGTAACTCGTTGCGCTTCGTTGCTGTGTGAGTCATGTTCCACGGACGTTGAACTAGCTTACCGCCTTTAATATGCTTGCACAGGAGGCAGTCTGCAACGAACCGCTCGACTAGCTCACGCATATTGTCGAATACGAATTCGTCTCGGAGAATCTGAAGCATAGCCTCCGCACCTCTGTGAGCTCTGATTCCACAGTGAGATATTATCATCACCCGAAAAATTAAATCACCAGACGTCGGTAGCCAAAGTTTTCCATTATGCTTCCAGAGTCCGTCTTCGTCCTGGTTGTGGCCGGCTCCAGGCATACCTGCTGCTTCTTGTGCTTGTTTCACGGTGTCTGCCGTCGGCCATGAAAACTTGTCGTCTTGCATCGGCCTCAGTCTCGATAGCGTAGCTTGACTGTCGACTCGAGCGACTTTCACCTGCACCTCTGGGTTATCCAGCGACTTGTGGGTGGGTGTCCATCTAGACACGATGTCTGCCAACAAATTTCGCTCCCCGTCAATATGCTCGATGGTGTACCTTAGACAGGAAATGCGCAGCGCCCACCGTAGAAGTTTCCCTTTTGTGTGTTTTTTCACGCTCTCTGCAGGCGAGAATATTTGGATCAAATTAGAATGGTCACAGAATGCTTTAAAACCATCTTCCCGTTCGAGAATGTAGTCGAGCGATACACATGCTCGCACCACAGGATAGGCCTCTTTCTCGACTACCGACCAGTGCAATTGTGCTCCCCGAAAAACCCCACCCTGGCAAATCAGGAGTTCATGCTTTTGGTTGTCCACGGGCACGTCTGCTTGCCACTCTCGTACTTGCGTTAGAATGATGGAGTATCCGTAGTCTGATGCGTCAGTCAACATACAAATTGTTGCTTTATCTTCCGGAAAGTACAACTTTGCAGATTGTGCAATGCTTTGGAGTGCTTAAGAGTATGAACGTCGCTCCTCCTCCGTCCAACCAAGCGTGACGGCGCGGGCGGAGCGCTTAGTCCTGCTGCGGTTGGTTAAGGCTTCATTAAGTTTGATCTGCAGCGGCTCGAAAACTCGGGCAAAATCAATGATAGAATCTCGAATCCAGTTGCACGCGCACAGAAAGCGCTGTAAATCGGCTGCAGTTGTTGGCAAGGGTAGTGCTGTAAGTGCCGATAGGCGTTCCGGGTCTTGACGGATACCGTCGCCGTCAATGATGCGACCGCACCAGGCAACTTCGAACAAAATCAGCACACTCTTTTTGGCGTTGAGCTTCAGCCTGTACTTTTCGATGAGCTCGTAGAAGAGCGTCAGGTTGGTGAGGAACTCCTCCTCCGTACGACCGTACACGATGATGTCATCGATCCAGATTAACGCTCCCTTGTACAGCAGTGGCTTGTAGGCTGTCTGCATTTGGCTTTGAAAGTGAAGAGGTGAGTCTGTTGCGCCTTGAGGTACACGCAGAGGCGTGTAGACACCATCATGTGTCATGAAGCTAAACATTTCTTGACATCCCTCCGCTAGCATAATCTGCCAGAAACCCTTAAAGAGGTCGAACTTGGCGATAAATTTCACACCTGCTACGAAACGCAGCACCACTGAGATATGCGGCATGGTCCCCGCGATTGGAACCGTCCTCTTGTTCACCTCGATGTAATTATTGGTCACTCGAAAATCAGTCTTGTTGTCTGCTTTACGCACTGGCACCGCATTAGATGCCCACTTGCTCAGATTATTTTTCTTGACAAACCCAAATTTGAGTAGCTGTGCGACGTAGTCATCAAGGAACTTAATCTTTGCGGGAGGAAATCGTCTGGGTTTGCAACGATATGGCTCTGCTCCCTTCACCATCGTGACTACGAGTGGTTCTACTCGCGCAGGTTCATCTGGCCCAATTCGAGTCCGATATAGGTGCACAAACTTCTTGCTCAGCTTGATCACATCCTCTCGGAAGTCGTTGTACTGATGATCTTTCAGCACCGCGCGGACTTCCTCGCACATTCGTTCCATCTCTACCTGGATTTCCTCTTCGATAACTGGACCTACTTCAGGTTGCTCAGGTATGTCGTCATGGTTCAAATCTATGCTGGTATTAGCTAGCTGTTCAAAGGCGCGCTTGACGTCGATACCCAATGTTTTCATCACTGCTTTACCCAATAAGAACTGGTCCTCTTCCTCCACGACCAAACATTCGAGCTTGTAGAGGTTGACAGGTCCAGCTGATGTTCGTATCTGTAAGTCGATAACTGCGGTCTCGCGGCTCCACGTTGTCTTTCCTCCTAATCCAATA